GGCCCTGGCGGCCCGGCGAGCCGGGCAGGCGGAGTCGCGGCTGCCGGGCGGGGAGGATGCTGCTGTCCCTGGTGCTCCACACCTACTCCATGCGCTACCTGCTGCCCGGCGCGCTGCTCCTGGGCTCGGCGCCCACCTACCTGCTGGCCTGGACGCTGTGGCGGCTGCTGTCGGCGCTGCTGCCCGCCCGCTTGTACCAGCGCGTGGACGACCGACTCTACTGCGTCTACCAGAACATGGTGCTCTTCTTCTTCGAGAATTACACCGGGGTGCAGGTGAGGCTCACCGCCGGGCCCCGGAGCACTCTGCATGGCATCCGGCCCGGGTTCGGGAGTACTGTGCACGACCTCCCGCCCGGGCCCGGAGCGCTGTGCACGGCCTCCCACCCGAGCCAGGGAACACTGTGCTTGGCATCCCGCCCCGCGGCCGCGCAGCTTGAAGCACGTGCGCACCCCGCGGGGGAGTGTCCATGGTCACCTCGGGGTCCTGGCAGGCCGGCTGCATCCCTTGAAAGCAGCGGTGCTGTCCTTCCGAGGCCGAGTGTTCCCGGCCGCCCCATCCCCCTCCCCGGCCCGTGGGTACTGTGTGCCTCGGTGCCTGGTAAAGTAGGGCAGACGCCCGACAACGCGATCCAAGGTACTGATGCTCCGACGCGGTCCCTGTGCAGGCCCAGGGCTTCTGCGTGAAAGACAGACCGAGGGGACAGTTCGTGGAAGGACAGCGCCGCTGGGGTGCTTCCTGCGCGCCCCGCGAGGAAGTGCATGCTCGGTTACAGCAAGCCAGGCTGTGTAGACAGATCTGGCCAGCTGTGAGCGGCTTGGAAGTGCGGCTGATGTGTTAGACTGCCGACTTCCTGCCACTGTGCCCTGCTTCCCGGTGCGATGTGCGGGTTGAACTTGGGTGCAAGTCCTCCAGCACGACTTAGCTGTCCCGGCTGCGCTTCCCCTTTCTGTCTGCAAGAAGAGCTCGGTTCTTGCTGCTTCTAGTACTGGGGTGGGGGTGGAGTCTGTCATGTCCTTTTTTGCATTTTCCTCATTTAGTGTTGATTTTGACCCTGATGGACTTCCACATGGAGGTTATGTGTGAGGGAGGGTATTAGGACAAGCCAAGCCTCCCTCGGAATCTTTATCTTTTAAGTGTTTTCCTAGGAATGAAAAGAAGAAAAGTTACTGCTCCACACCTGGATTTCCTAGCAATTGGCTTTTGGAATGGGTCATTTAGAATGTTCAGGAACCCTGGGCTGTTGGTTTCCTCCCTTGACCAAGTCCTTCAGATGTCTGGCTTTATCAGCTCCACGTTTTTTTATGAGCAGTTGGGACAGCTGGGGATGCACTCTGGAGAGGACTGCTGTGCACCTGCAAAGTCCCTTCCCCCGGCTGGGGTGGGGACACTCAGCAGGGTGCTCCTGCATTCTTGACTTTTCACTGCAGACAATTTCAGGTTGAGTCAGAGTGAATCAAAGTTAGTGAGTCTGTTGATTAGGGGAGAGGTCACACTTGAGGAAAGCCAAGTGCAAGTTATGAGGGGCACTGTCAAATGCTACAACTGCAGTGATCCAGGGCTTTGCAGTTCCGTTGTTTGAAGGAGGCCATCAAAACAGGTTATGAGAGGAAGAAAAAGGTTCGTCTACCCATTTCCATATCAGACTTTTTAATATAAGAAATTGAAAGGGATTTATGACGGTCTGAGGAAGCTTCCACACCAGAAAGGAAAGTGGTTAAGACAGAAACCCAGATCAAGATGAAATCAAAGTAACTGATACTGTACATCAGTAGCAGGAGATTACGACATAGGCTTTTATTCTGTCTTGGTTCCCTAACCATAGTAATAATCTCATCTGTGATCTTTTTTTTTTTTAGGGAATGTGTAGTGTGGGACAGTCTCTACAGCTGTGCTTACACTCTTAAACTTTGCTGTCAGCCAGCATGACATGAGGAGGGGAAAGACCTCTTTTCCTTAGCCTTTTCCTGTCTTTCTCTTCTACCTCAAAAGGGCAATTCAGAACACTGCTCACCTCTTAGAAACAATATTCTATTTGAGGCAGATTTGGGTTTTGCTCAGAAATGAACAGCTGTTCTCTACAGGTTCACGAGGAGCATGCCATTGGATCCCTTTGTGTGTAGGGATTTCTTATTTAAAATGATGGTAAAACTTGAGTATTACTGGAAGTCACATTTTGCCTTCTACACTGAAGATTATGGATGTCCAATTCTTGACTTCTTAGCAAGGAGTGAATTAAAACACGATCTACTGATTTTTCTCCATTATTCCAATGAAAGGGTCCAATATCACTGATAATTGATGTTTCATGAAAGTATCTAATGACATTACTACGAATGTGAATTTTATTTAGTAGGTTCCCTTAATAAAGTTTGTTAAGGCATTCAAGATGTTCCCTGGTCATCAGAGGCAGGCTATGAACATTTAATAAAACTGTAAACCCCCAAATTTCTTGTTCATAGTTTTTTGGGGGGAGGAGGAAGAGTTGTTATTTTGCAACAGACAGCAAGGCATTTTGAATGGTAGGAGTCTCTTCGGTAGAATTTGGGTTTCCTGCTAAGATGAGGCTACCTTCCTATTTTTTTCATGGTTTTCTTTAATAATAAATCAATAGACGAATGAATAGCCATCTTTAAGTAAAGCCCAAAAGAAAGATAGGGCCATTGTTGAGTTCTGTTCTGTTCTGCATGTTTTCCATCGTTAATTCTGTCATTGAGATGTTTTGATTAAAATTTCATCTTCTTTTGCTAGGATATTTTCTTTTTTTCTTTTTTTTACTTGAGTTATTCGGCAACATATATTCATTTTAAAGATTTAGTTATTTTTTATTTATGTGTGTAAGTCTGCATGAGTTTGCACCATGTGCATGCTGGAGTCTGTGGAAGCCCTAGGGGGTGTCAGATCCCCTGGACCTGGAGTAACATTGTTGTGAACCGTTCATGAGGGTGCTGGGAACTGAACCTGGTTCTTCTGCAAGAGGAGCCAGAGCCCTTAACTGCTGAGCCATATCTCTAGCCTGACGGCTTCATTTATAAGGCTAGTAGTGAATCTCTATTATGTATAAAATATTGTTGGTGAATTTGTGAAGGAAATTTGAGTAATTTAAGGGGTGATTAAGTTTTCAAGTAACAAGAAAACTCACCAAATTATGTAGACTGAAGGAGCATTTTGGAATAACAAGTTTTAAAAATAATTTTTGTCTTTTATCTTTAGGTTTTAAAAGAAACATTTTATAATAGTTGTTGCAGAGTATTTTCTTTTGTTAGAATTTTTAAGCTGAAGAGAGAGTAGTTCCATAAAGTTTATGGTATGTTATTGGCAGGTAAACTCACTTTGTGAAAGCAGGTTACTTGGATATTACACTGGATTCTATGTAATTTAGGTCCCTCCCCATTTTATATGTCTTTGAGATTACAGTGCTAAAATTTTTCTAAATAACCTGTAAATCCTTCAGGTTTAAAAAAAAAAAAAAAAAACTTTTGGGGGCTAGAGAGATGGCTCAGCGGTTAAGAACACTGATTGTTGAAGACCTGGATTCGAATCCCAGCACCCACATGGCAGCTAACAACGGTCTGTAACTCCAGTTTCAGGGGACCCAACAACCTCTTCTGTCCTCTGCGGGCATTTGCACGACACAGGTGTACTTACCTACATGCAGGCAATACACGTAAAATAAAAATAATATATAAAATTAAAAAAAAACTTTTATGTGTGTATGTGTATGCACGTGTGTGTATGTTCATATTTGTGAGTGTGGGCACGTGTGCACCATGGCGCAGGTGTGGGGGTTAGAGAACGACCTTGGGTGTTAACCTTCACTTTCCTCTCTGAGGCAGGATCTCCTGTTCACCACTGTGCATGCCAGGCTAGCTGACCTACATATGAGCTTCCAGATTGTTCCCATCTCCTTGTACGAATGCTGTGGTCACAGATGGGTGTCCAGGCTAAGGTGCTGTCTGGGCATGCAAGCTCGGGTGAACCAACGACCTAGACCAGTAGAGGGCCTTTCAGTTTCCTGCAGTGAGAGCCATGCGCCATCTCCACCATTTATCCCTTTAGAACTAGTCGTGGGGACTCCGTTCACTTATCTGTTCACTTAATTTGAGATTCATTGACAAGTGGTCAGCATCTCATTACCACTTGAAGAAGTCCATTTCTTCTTGTGGCTATCACAGCAGATCACCAAAGATTAGATGTCTTCTCACAGCTCTGGAGGCCAGAGGTCTGAAATCATGTCAAGCAGGGTTGTATTCCCGCTAAGGCCTTTGTTTTTCAGCGCTGGATGCTGGCCACTCTCCTTGATTCAGGATACCATCCCTTTGTGCATCATAGGCTCATTTCCTTTCCTGTCTCAGATCTTCGGCTGTCTCTCTTTCTGTGTAGGCACTCTTGTCATTGGATTATAGGCACTCTTGGATAATTTAGGATGATCTTGGTCTCCTCAAGATCCTTAATTACATCCTTAAGACACTTGAAAAACATTGCATTATTAGTTTGTGTGGATGTGTAGTGCTATACAGCATGTGTATGGAGCCAGAGGACAACCTTTAGGAGTCAGTTGTTGCCTACCTTGTGACCCCAGGGATTGAGCTCAGGTTGTCAGGCTTGGAGCAAGCACCCTTTCCCACTGAGCTATCTGTCCAGCCTCAAAGACACCTTTTCAAAATAATGGAATGTGTACAGCTTCTAAGGCTCAGGGTGTGGACATAGTGTTTGGGGGACCACCATTCAACCCTTTACAGTAATGAACACTGCCATTCTGACCGTCTAGTATTTTGTTGTGATTTTGTAGTTGAAGTTTGCCTTATTTATTCAGGTATTTGCCAGCTAAGACATTTTGTTTTTGCTTTTATTCATATACAGAATAAAATAAGGTGAGTTCCTCTGCTTAGGTTACTTTTAAAATAGTTTCCTATAGTATTTTAATTTCTTATATATAGATTTACCTCATTCCTCAAGCAGGGCATTTGTGTAACTATTCTGTTTTCAGATCAAGCTGAATTTTCTATACCAGTCATCTTTTTGTGTGATTTATTCTGACATTATTGTCTTCTGATAGTGTACCAAGCAGAATGAACAACGCTCTAGACTGCAGATCTCACAAATCAGAGGTGACATAGCTTCTATGTTGAGAGTTTATCCCTGACAGAATCAGGACATTGGCACTGGGTTTTGTTCACATTTAAAAAAACATGCAGAAGGGACTTGAATGTGAGCTGCTTGGAGACCAGAATAAGGCCATGTGTGCCCTTGACCAAGAGTTGAAGGCAAACCA